AAAGCGAGACATACGTTCTGCGTATTACCGGGAGGTGTCATCCAAGATAAGAATGCTTACCAGTCATATGGAGAACCATATGGAGAACCCTGTTTTCGTTCACCATCAGCAGGAACACTCCACGCACCATCTGTACGTCAGAGGAGCACGGTAGGGTTGTACTGTCATACGCGATCTGGGGTCGATGACTTACCCTTGGGTTCGATGAACTTACCCGTCTGACGGAGAACCCTGTTTTCGTTTACCATCAGCAGGAACACTCCACGCACCAACTGGACGTCAGAGGAGCACGGTGGAGTTGTACTGTCATTCGCGATAGGGGGCCGACTGTTCCGCATAATCTGTGACTAATCTTGAAATCACCAGAGAATGGCGCACCATCTATGTTGTACGCTCCGCTGCTCCAAATGGCAAAAATACGCAACTATGTCCTTGCAGTGCCTAACGAATAGGCTGCTGAGCTCGGCTGACCATGCGGACATTCCTTGGGTCTAACGGGCGGCTGGACGCTCAAACCTGCTGTGCCTAAAGACGTGAAAAACGACCCCCACTTGCTAAAGGTTTTCATCAATGAGCAGTGGTAAGCCACAGTAGATCCATTAAATACCAAACGCCGACAAGCTGCATGCATACCGATATGCTGGCGATTTTACTGAATACCCTTGACCTCTTCCCGATGGGCAGGCACCGCTCCTGCACCTTCGAATGCCAGCCAGCGAACCACAGACACTGAAAATACAACGCATGGCCTACGCCGCTGGCCTCCATAGTACGGCTCTCTACCAGCGCTTCCCTGACAGCGACCAAGAAAAGGCGGTACCCCACGGCCATACCACGGTCACCACTAAATGGGCTTCATGGGCTTCAGTCATCCATCGAGATCACTCCGATCTCAACGTGGCAGAACACAATACGCACAGACTAGTTGCGGCAGGTTGGCTGTACAGAGGGCTGTAATATGCGCACCATGACACAGCGGAAGATGCAGGTTGCAACAGTGCACCACATAGGGCAGAATACATTGTCCTAGCTACCGGTGCGGTCCCCTAAACATTAACCCCAGAACAACGGCCTCCTCGAGCAGAAGAAATGAAGCTCGCCAGCATCGCTGTTCAGCGTTCAACAACCCCTCTGGCGAAACATTCCAGGAACACAACTGGCCTTCGGTATTTAGTTTTCCTGCTCTCCTCGTCAACCCCTTGAGGATACGGTTTCCACAAACGCCTACCTTGCGCGTGTCACGAAAGAGTCCCGGCCCAAAAATGGAACTCTGGGGAACTCAATCTCAATATTGTCATACTGCCTGTGTGCAAAGACCAAGACAGAGATTATCAGGCAGTATGACAACAATATTGAGGTTGAGTTTCATCGGCCGCAGCAAACAGGTGTGGGTACAAGGTGGCCCTCTGTACACCGCAGCAAAACCCCAAATGCACCACACATTATGGGTGTTTGTGTCGGTTGTACAGAAAGTTCGCGAAATGCTGGAGCTTGCCGCATTGGCTATGCATGGCTAACACGTCCTTGACCTACAAATGTCTAGCGTGATGCGCTAGAACCAAAAGTATGCAATCATTGATTGTACTGCAGTATCATTGGCTCAAGCAACGCGCGCCTGCTGCTGGTGCGAGTTGAGGCATACTGCCTGCATGAAAAGCAAATTGTGGGTTCGCCCAACTTCACATGCACTGTCAGCGCTTTTGCATTCCCACAGATTAAGTTCAAACTGGCATCCCACATGTTCGCCACTTTCCTGGCCGCTAGAAATATAGAAATATATAGATTGGAACGATGAGGAAACGCAACATACCTCGCAAACGCTTCACCTAGACCAGAGAAACCTGCGCTGGCACTTAATGCCTAAACCACATGAGCGTGCGTCCCAGCTACCCTGTTGTTGTCATACTATCAATCTCAATATTGTTGTCATACTGCCTGTGTGCAAAGATCAAGACGGAGATTATCACTTTCATTGGTCGCCGGAAACAGTGTACACCGCAGCAAAACCCTAACGCAATACAAATAGATAGCAGCAACTTGAAGGCAATGACCACGCAAAGCTGATTTGACAGAGCGAGGATAACTATGAAATGGGTTGAAGGCAACGACGTTCAGGTGTAGCAAAACGTGGCTCACGTGCTTATACTGAGAAAAGGTTTTTTAAAAAATTTCACAGCATGCATGACTAACTAGCCACATCCAGCGATAAGCAGTGGTGAACCGAGGGCAACATCGGAGTGCGTAGGCGCACAGCAAAACAGTTACTAAGAGAGCCTTGCTTCATGGAACGACGTTCGAGCGTACCAGCACGACGGCAAACTCAGCTCACGTTCTCATACTTGCAGAGCAATATTTGTGAAAATCGCTTCAAAGTATGAGACGCACGAAGCACGTTTATATAGGCGACCACAATATATAACGCATTTGGTAGTTCACCCCCGCTGAGGTTGCTCGGCCATCCAAGCTAACCAGCCCCCGCTTGTCCCACCGTATCCACGTTGTGAGCAGGATGCAATTAGCAACGCGGTGTTGCAGGCAACACCCAGTCGTGCGCAGTCCTTATAGAGGGCCTGCCAGTACTCCATATGTAGGTATTATTTCGGGGAGCACAATACAAAACGCCAGCGGTTTTGAAGACAGTGCATGCCAACACGGACGTTATAGGCCGAGAAGAGTATTGCAGTGTTGGCGCTCTACAAGCTGCTCACATACCGCAGGTAAAGTGGGGCATACGTCCTGGACCATGCGCAGTCGCAACACCCACCGGTCACGGAATCATCAATGCGAGTATTCTTCATCGGAACTATAGGCATCCAATTTGCTGTGTGCGCGATATCGATTTTGGAGCAGCTTCTCGGTTGCATGTCTTGTAAATCAAAGTCGGATACAAGATATGCAACCGAGAAGCTGCTCCAAAATCGAGTAATTCTTCCACCGGCGATGAGAGTTTCTGTAATCACTCACCATCTGCGGCGTTACCCAGCATACGGCGTTACTCAGCATACAGTGCCGAGTGCAGCACACTCGGCATTGAAATAGCGGCATAGGATCATTTTTTGGACACCATGGAAGTTCAGCCAACAACCAAGGGGACAATATTCAAAGTGCCACAACCAACTGATTCACTCTGCCGTCTCAGCAAGTGTAAGTGCCACAACCCACAACCAAGTGATTCACTCTGCCATCTCATTCACAACCAAGTGATTCACTGTGCCGTCTCATAAACTGATTCACTCTGCCGTCTCAGCAAGTGTAAGTGCCACAACCAAGTGATTCACTCTGCCGTCTCATACACAACCAAGTGATTCATTCTGCCGTCTCATACACTTGCTGCCAAATCAACACTCAGTTTTGCGTTACGCATGCGCCAAGAGCCTGTATCCCGCACTTTGCGAACTGACGCACTTGCTTCACGACATGCAAAAAAACACTTCGTGGGCTCAAAGGTACGCTGATCCCCGGATGGTTAAGAGAAGCACCCAAATCCTACACTCAAAGGCTAACGTTTGCGCCTTTCAGCTGTAGCTGCTGTCATGCTAACGCAGTAACTACGGTCCATACATTCTAGAGACCCGGTAGGGGGGAAAACCATTTTGCAAAGGCCGATGCCTACAGGTGATTTTTCATCTACGATGTTAGGCCTATTTGAACGGCACCTGCTGAGCACCCTCTTGCCAGATTGTATTTTGCAACTGTATGTTCTCTGCGAAGTACAACAATGCAACGTTTGCGAGGGCACCCACGGGGATTCTTTGTCTGTATCCCACAGGGGGGCAATTGTGCATAGTAGGCCTAATGCAATGTGCATTGTGACAATGTTCTGGTCGCGCTGTAACAAGCGGCTCGTGGGTGTTTTGTAACGGAGCGCACCCGCTGGAAGAAACATACGTCGCTGCGTGACAGCGGCCCTTGTCTAGCGTCCCATCACGAAACATCAGTGCCCTCTAAAAGGTTAAAATGCGAACACCCCGACAATATCCGTGCCATCTAAAAGGTACGCCGAGAACAGCCTCTGCGTCAGGCATGCAGTGCCGGTGGTGCTCACTATCTGTATATCACGCAAACGGGATACACGCTGCGCTGGTGCACTCTAGACAGACTACAACGTATTGACAAACTGCAACTACAGCGGTAGCTTCAAAAACCTACGTTCTGCACAAAACGGGTACGAACCGATGCGTGGTGGAACAGTCAAAGCCCGACTCAGGCTGGCTCCCTTTTCAGGTGTAGCATATGGCCTGCTACCTGGCAGCCAGTACTACTGTCGAGCAATGCGGGTAATGCAGCAAACGACGCCAAATTATTCCTTGGCCCTGGAGTTCTTTAGAGAGGTGCAGGCTAAGAACTTCAGCTGCGTCGCGTGCCTGAACCCCCGCCTCGCGTATGCATTGCCGCTGGTGCTCACTGCCTGTATATCACGCAAACGGGATACAGAAACCCTTTTGTACTGCACGGGTGCACCAGACTATTGACAAACTGCAGCTACAGAACCAAACTCATATCGAGCAGCGCCAAACACATACGTACTGCACAGAACCGAAACGCGCCGAATAGTGGTCACATCAGGTCCCAGCAGCCATGGCCGGCGCCGTTTTCAGGTGTAGTATATGGCATGCTACCTGGGAGCCAGTAGTGGAGGTTGATGCAGTAGTATATGGCCTGCTACCTGGCAGGCAGTAATACTGTCGAGAAATATGGAGGTTGATGCAGTAACAACAGCGAATTATTCGTTGGAACTGGCGTCCTCTAGATATAGCATCGATGTTTGGGCACGAAAATATCATAGCGTGTGCGTAAGGTGGTTTCTGCTTAAACGCGGCCGCATCAGCAGCGATATATGCGATATTGATACGAAGGCCAATGAATCAGATCACAAGCAAATGACTACACAACTTACGCGACACATTACCACAAAAACGATTGTGCATCCATTCGATACCTCACGGTGTTCATCCAACTGGACCACGACGTGCATAAACTACCTCCTTTTTAAACGTCTGTTAAGTGTCTGGCATGAAGTCACCGAGCAGCTCTACGGCCATAACCGCGGCTGAGCAACTCCAGCCATGCTTCGCGGAAGGCTCCTCCACCAACGAATATAAGCAGACTCCCAACGCGTGATTGTAGGCCCCCTCTAATGCAGGAACAAGAGCAACACGAACATCAAAATGGCGCAATACTCCCTTTTGCGATGGCAACGACGGGAAAACCGATTGGGCAAGACGTACGAACTAAATACCCAAAACCTCAGCGGAATTTCTATCAGTTGTAAGTCCTATGCCGCGTGGTTTAAGCATAGCGTTGTTTAAGCATAGCTTAAACAACGCGGCAAAGCCTCTTGCGCAACGGCATTTCGCAGATGGGGTTTGCATGACGACTGCCCGCGATGGCACCTACCATCTGGTTGCACCCCACAAAAGCTCTAATGCTCTTCGTGTTACATTCATATGCATCCAGCGCTCCGTTAAGACATTTGGAACAAGACAATTACCGTGCTCGAAAATGGTCGGTTGCCCAAAGTGGTTGGCGTCACCACTCTGATCGATGACACCCACCAACTTATTGTCCACAGTTTGGCGTTGCATTGTGTGCTTCAAGCGCCTTCTTTGCGTATTCAGCAGCACACCATTTCTGTGTATGAAAACCTTCTCCCCCTTAACGAGGTCCTGTATTCCGTGGTACCCACAGTTTGTTTGATCAGAGCTACCAGCTGCGCGCCTACTTTCTGGAATGTTCGGCTCCCTATTTGCAAGCAGCCAGGATTAGCTAAATTCGGTTAGCAACAGCAAAACGTCAATGTGAAAGTCGGTTCAACACATATTTTGCTGGCGCTGGGGTTGGCACGTTTGTCGTTAGTGGTCCTGGGTTTAAACGCACGTCCTAAAGATCGCCAAATCGAACCGTCCGCGTAACGCCAGGCCTGCCGCATACGAGCAGCGCCGCCTTCAAATCCGCAGCTTTGAGGACCTTCGCTTTTATGCAATATGAGCTATCGTCCGTCGCACGTACTAGGTCGACCCTAATCTAAGTTTAGCGCTTGCAGAAGACGTACAAGCTAGGCGCCCAAATACTTCTCAATCACGATTGTGTACTGAAACACGTTTGGGCCAGTGGCACTTCGTCGTCCACTACTGTAGTTCTCTGTCGATAGGCATGGGGGTCCTTCAGACGAAACGGCCACTGATGCAAATAAACAAATGATGCGGTATGATTGCTGGCGCAGTGGGCTCATACCGCATCATATGAAGATACGACGGAGGGCCAATCTAACCTTTTCAAAACACGACGGAGGGCCATTCAAAACACTGGCTTAAGGCACGCTTGGCGTTTCACGGCACTAGTCCACCAAGACGCTCACTGTCTGGGAAGAACACAATCGAGCCCGAATGTTGGTAAAATGCCTTGTAAACCATAGGGCATGACCTCAGCAACAACCAGTTGCCATTTGACAAGTTATTCGAATAGGTGGACGAATAGGTGGACGTACAACATGCTATTCGAATAGGTGGACGAATAGGTGGACGTACAACATGCTGTTGAAACGTAACTTGGTAATTCGAATGCGTAGGCTGCAGTCCCAGCTCCAAGCGAACGCACAGGCTGCACATTCCGCAGGGCAAGTGTTTCTACTAGTGCACAGGGTGGTGTAAAATCTGCAATTAGCCATCTTTATCAGCCCTTTGAACGCTTGATTAACAAACGCGCTTATAACTGACCCCGAATTCTGTTCCTGGGCACGCTGTGTGTCCAAAGCTCACCCTCTAAGAAATTGTAATCACAGGAATGTCAACATTCCTGGAGATGGCATATCGAATAGAATGCGTTTGTTTCCCAGCCGATCAACGCAATTGGTAACGTGCCAGTGTGCCGAAGAAAATGCGTTTGTTTCTCAACACATCGACTAAATTAAACTGGCTGCGTCCACCGAGTTAGCCGCCTGCTCCTCGCATTTTTTCAAACGCAGGTAGAATGGCCACAACCTGTGTAGCACCGTGCTCAGGGTCAAACATAACGCCTCCACGCAGAAGAGCATTGGCACATGCCGGCACACACCCGGAAGAGCGAATAATACAAATATGTGCTGCCGACAACAATTATAACGCACATACTGGAGCATAGTGAAGCTCGGTTATACCTGTGTGCTTTCGCAAGCTTGCGTGCTAGCTACTAGGAGCGGCCTAGTACCCGTTCATTAAACACCTACTTCCTGAACAACGGAACGCAGCAGGAATTCAGAGCGCAGGCCCCATCGAGAGAAGTCTCGAACCTCAAAACAAGACACCCCCGAGCTTTGCGCTCAACAGAACTTGCCTTCACTGGACACTCCTGCTTCTTGCACCATACCTGCCGGGAGAGGTGCCGCACAGTGACGAACATGCAGACCTGCATGGACTACAATTCTTAATCGACACATTTATTACTCGGGCCGCACCAACAACCACTGGTGGAAAGCGGCTTCATGGCCTATCCGGATGGGGTCGACTGGTGGCCTCTCTGCACTAAATTATAGGTTTGTCTAAGGGCATCTGTTCTATTTCTGTGTTCAGCCAGAGTATCTAAAGCGGAGCAAGTATCTAAAGCGGAGCAAGGTAAAACGAACGAGCTGAAAACTCAAAAAGTCTCCCCTGAAGCCGGTGTTTCTGAGGCATGGACAGTTACTTGTACCTTGCAGAATTGTACCTCCACACACGCACAACTGTTTTCCCTCACTACATCCGACGGCTAGGACGCATGCGCCAAACTGGGCAGTACGAAGGTGAAAGTATGGAAGTTAAGCTGGGTAAAATGTTAGCCTAGACGGCTAATAGAAAATTCGAAGGAAGAAGGCAGGCTTGCTCTACAAATCGCGTCTGAAATACAAATTACCAGAAATACCCGGTTCGGAGATTTGTTTTTCAGACGCTCACTTCCTGTTGGTTAGCATGGTCAGCACGGTAGTTTACCTAGCACTCGCAATGTGATCATCCAAAACTTGACTAGCGAACCGACAACGAACGCTCGCTCACACAAGGCCACGGTATGTGTTGTAGGAAATGCCAATGGACATGGAAATCACGAAAAGGTTACCGATACGTACAACCTGAAGCGGTCCCAATGACGGGCAGACGGATGGTACATGGCTGCAGTTCGAAAAGGCTAACGTCACCTATGAACGTGAGAATACGAAGTAGGCAAACGACCGGCTGGTATCACAAAGTGGGAACGTCACCTTTTCACCTTCAAAACAGGTTGCAGCAAACAGTGCAAACATTTAGTAGTGTGTATATAACGCCATTCTCTGATCCCTACTCTCTGCGAAATTTGAACACATAGGTCAACATTGCACTGGCTACTATTTAAGATCAACGCCTAACGGCTGGGGCCACCGCAAGATTGCAGACATATTCCCAACAGCGTACTCTCTGAAGGTCCAGCGGTCTCCGCTAACTCGGTTTTCCGTGAAACATTATGGTATGGCCGCTATTCAAAGACTTGGTGCTGACAGGTCGCCGCAGTCCATCACGTGTAGCGACAGAGCGCGACCGCGATTTGCAGATTGGTATCTCTCGCTAACTCGGTTTTCCGTGAAACATTATGGTATGGTCGCTATTCAAAGACTTGGTGCTGACAGGTCGCCGCAGTCCATCACGTGTAGCGACAGAGCGCGACCGCGATTTGCAGATTGGTATCTCTCATACTGCAGGCATGTAAATTCGTAGTACAGGTCTCTTTGACTAGCAAACGCACTGCCTGGTAGTTCAGAAGCTATCATTCCATTGGCCCTGCAAATGAAGCGAGTTACTCCAATCCGCCTGAGACGGAAGACACGGGACCCCTGAATAAAGCCTGTGCTGCCCGTATAAAGCCTTGTATTCTCCCGGAAGTGCATCAAGTTGAAATAAAACGGTCGCTATATCCTTGCCACGATCTCGAAGCCCGCTTTGCTGTATGCATAGCAAGTGGGGCTTCAAGTCAAACAACGTCGCCCCCGTTTGGGCTGCATATAACGCACTAGCTGGCGAACGCCAGGCGGTGTTTAGAGACAGGAAGTCTTTACGCCATCTGTGATGCAGCCGAGCTGTGCTCTGACGGGCTTAGCTGTCCTATCTATCACCTTGCACTGCTGGAAGCCAGGCTGTGTTATTCTGATGGGCAATACACATCCGTAGCTAACTTTTGCTTGCACTCGCATTTCATTAGCATTGGAAACATTTTCAAAGCGCCGGGAACGCATTGCAGGACAACAGCACTTCGGGGTGGCCATTTCCTTCCCAAGAAATCCTTCAGGTGGACAGAGTCAGTACCATCCGGATAGACCATGCTGTGATGCATGTGATCTACACTTGATAGACGCTGAACGTACATCCTTCAGGAGAATATCAGGGTTTTGAGAAAGTAAGGATGTTCGAGGCAATACCTCCCTCTATGTTACAGCGCGGACCGTCCCCTGCCATTCGATGGTGTACCGGCGAATGCCTCTGGAACCAACGTACTTGCTAGGCATGAACGCTAGATACGCTTGGGACACGTATTCGGCGCGGCCACTACGTGTTTTGAGGCGGCGGTGATGCAACAATTTTGCATATTCAGGCATTATTCATATTCAGGCATTATTGGAGAAGCGTTTGGACATCGCCGGCAGTGGAAGAAAGAAACAATACTCTAACATGACTGTTGTTTAGCTCACAATCTCCGTCTGCACAGTGGCCTTTACGGACGTCTGGAGGTTTTCCGTTCGACACGTTTCACTGGGTGGTTTGTGTACCAGGCCAACGGAGGATAGGTAAAATCGCCGTCTACGCCAGAGACTTTGGCAGAGACAAGACCCGGGGACATGTGCAACACACGACACAGGTATAGCAAACCCAAAACAGCGCATCTCCGAAAACGCTAATTGAAAGCTTGCACAATATTAATGCACTCATGAAATCGGTAGTTTGCCGATGATTATGCTGGTACACCATTCCTAATCGATACTGTCAAAGTCTGGATGCAAAGCCTACTGTAGCATAACTGTAGCCTAAACGATACTGTCGGGAAATACGAGGCCAAAGTTTGGATGCAAAGCCTACTGTAGAACGAATGTTACTACGTAATTCGACGTACCCCCTACTCACCACAGGAAGAAGCTACTTCATGTGGAACTAGACAGACGATAGCTAACGCTGTTGTCTGCACAGTACATGTACACTAACAATGACACGCGCGTTTCCGCTCGTTGAAATGTGTCCCCATATCTGTTGCCGGGAAACACCACTATAATGAGCAGTAAAACCATTTATGCATAGATCACCAGGCAAATGAGTAACATTCATTGGCAGATGGGTCGTGTCTGTAGCTGCCGAAACTGGCACGTACTGCCTATTTCCCCAGGAAGAACTGTATATTTGGAGCTGAAATTAGGCCAAAGGCTTGGCAGCTGATGTGGGCGGTATCGAGGCAGAAAATATCTGGAGAACACGGGAATTTTAAACTATATGGTGAACACTAGGTTGGACAGTTGTTAGGCCAAACGGAGGCGTACTTTCTGGACAGTTTAAATTTCCCATTTTCTCCAGATTTTCACTGTACAATGCACCCAATGCAATGCTGACTGCACGCGCAC